GCCACGTAGAATTAAGGCAGTTCTGAAGGCGAAAGGGGGTCAAACACCGTATTAGTATGGTGTTCCTAATAATCCTTTAGGTGAGTGTATATTGCAATATAGTTGTACATCATGTCAATTATATAATATGAAGGGAAAAAGGAAGGAAAGTTCATTTGTTCCCCTGGTCAGAACCTGCATGTGCAAGAAATGTTTACAGATGTGACCTTCATTGACTGGTACAAAGAGGATCTCAGACATCTTCAAAGACCTAGAACAGGGGTCAGGAACCTACGGTTCTGTGACTATCTGCTTGCAGTTCCAAAGCAGACTATCTTGCACACATACAGTATGTACTACATTGACGATCGAGTGGTATGCTTCAAACAAAATTTGAAAGTACAGAATAGTATTTGAGTGAGAACATTGTGGTGTTAGAGTTGAATGGACTGAGGCATATGCATTCATAGCTACTTCATCAGGTTGCCCCATGTGCCTAATATTCCAGGAGAAATAAATAAATAATGATGTTACATGCCGAAATATTGTGGCTGCCTAAATAATATGCCTGTTTAATCACAGCTGCAATTGTAAGAAAGGTAAATCACCAGTTCATTGTGAATTTTGTGCCTGTTTGTCTTCTCAATGTCTGGAATGTATGAAGACACCTTGATTTTCAAGCAAGACTGCAAACTTTCATTATTAAGACTGCTTTGAAGTTCAGCACAGTTGCTGCCAGTTTTGTGACGTCTCAGGAGATCATAAAACACGCAAAGTGTTGAATGCTGAATACATTGATAAACACTCTTCAAAGTAGCGGAGCACCTGTTTACAGGTTAAAAAAAAATAAAAATCATATGATTAAGAAAATTATGGGCATGCCATTATCTTTCTAAAGTTCATTAAACACTGAAAATTATTTTTTACTTTGTTGTTGTCATATAAAAATGTTGCTAAATTGTTTAGAATGAATTTCTCTTTCCAGTAAAATTCTGCGGCTCCAGCGTATTAATAGAAAAGAAAAAAAAAACTGAAAGTGGCTTATCTCAGCTGGGTTGCCAACCCCTGATCTAGAAGCTCCACTTAGTCAAAATATTAGCCAGACTCAAGGTTGGAGAACTATAAACGTAGAGTACAACAGATTGGGAGAGAAAGCTGCAATAACCCTTCACACAAATTGCGGTCTCTCACATCTGTAATCTGGGCTCAAGAAGGTCTCTCTTACACCTGAATTATAATGATGGTCAGTCACAAAGCAAGGTTGATCATTTAGAAAACCGCAAATCATAATTGATTAGTCTTTAGGATATTGCTTAAAAAAAGATGCCACAAAAGTACACCATTTCCGACTGGGTTGGTGATTGCAAGGGTTTCTGTAATGTGTGTGTGTGTGGGTTGATAGTAATACCAAAGTAAAATCACCTTTAATCAACTTAACACTTTGTTTTCCTTTGCTACTGTAGAATGTCCCTGATCTCCCAGACGCTACAGAGCACTTTAGGACTGACCTGTCCCGAGATCTTGCTGCCTTGCATGAGATCTGTGGGACACATTCAAATGAGCTTCGAACGCTGAGTAATGAGAGAGGGGTGCAACAGGTTTGTGTCTGCTCTTTTTGTGGTGTAACTTAGCAGTAAATGACTTGCCGCTGGTAGCAACTGAGGCAGAGACAATGTCTATTTAAAGCAGCGCTGTACTGAATTTTGACTGACATATCCTCCCTGTTTGTTTGCATTTATGCAGCATGTGTTAAAAAAGCTTCTGGCAATCACTGAGCTCCTGCAGCAGAAACAAGTTCAATATTCAATGTCCAACAGCAACAGGTAGTAACCGTTCTGAGGACTTGCATCTGGGACCGAGCATGCTCCACCCTCATCACCTTGGCAACCCAAGCTGCATTACTTACCCATTCTTCCTCTGGCACACTAATGCTGTGCCCTGTGCCCCATGAGCTATGCAGCAAGTGACAGATCCAGAAAAGCATTGCTTTATTCCCTTGCCCGCATTGACTTTTACAGCTGAATGTGCAGGAATTGTTTTGTATTATGTAACCCTGTTGATTTGTTGCTTGGGTACACATCTCTTTAAAAAGAGGAGTAATAAAGCTTAGTACACCTAAGACTTGAGTATTTTCAACACATGCTGCCAAAGTGTATACCATCTGCTCAAGAGGAATTTTAGCTGACAGGATGCTACCGTGAGCTTTATTCTTAACTGGATTATGAGTTATAATGGTTTTTATACTGTAATTTGTGATTGATTTATTTTATGACATACACAATAGTGCATTCTGAAATTATAGGTTTCCTATCTAATTGTCATATTTTTTGTTTTTGACTAATTTAGATGGGAAAGATTTTGTGCAAAAATGTGGTCATTTTATATTGCAAAAATTGCTGGAATCATAAGTATGAAACTTTTGTCCCCTGAACTTTTTCCACAGTTTTGTTTGGTTCAGTCTTCCTTGGACCTTGTCAATACCAGGCAAACATAATCAAGAGAAATAAACTTTGTACAATGTTTACAGCCATAACTTCTGAATGAACATTGTATCAGAAATGTGTGCACTTATTAAAACAGCTTTGTAAGTTACATATTGTTGGAGTTTTATTAAAAGTACAGGTAATACAAACTTTAGTATAACCATATGCAACAGTACATGTATTTAAAATTAATGGTCCCTAGAAGTATTTTAGGTCTGGTTTGAAGGAGAAAGCCAATTAATTAATGCATTTAACATTGCCTGTAAATTTTGAACTATCATGTTCATTTAAATGGTTTCCAGCCAAGACATGTTTCACCATAAATCTCAGGGTTGGTATGATTCCAATAATCTTATTCAGTAGAATGGAAACATTTTTCTCAGGGTTCCCCAGTTCCGGTCCTGGTGGGCCAGTTTGCAACAGTTTTCAGATTTCCCTGCTTACATCTTAATCAGCCAATTATCAGGTTAAGAAATCTGAAAACTGTGTTGGATTCTGGCCCTCCAGGACCGAAATTATGATTTATATTGATAGTGACCTTTTTTGGACCACATGAAATGTACAAAAACTTTATTTCTCAAAAATATTCCAAATGTACATAGGATTTTGTCATCTGATGCAGCTACTACTGCACAGTACAGGAAAAACAGGAAATACACCAATATGTTAAATTTCAGTGTTCCAAGAGACAGCTCCCGATCATGTCATGAAGGACTCTAAATCCTCATCAGTCCATTCCTCCTGGAGAAAAGCAGTTTGCTTTATTGGTTGTGATTGTCTATTGGTAAAGATTATGAAGCAACTAAACCAGAAAGAATACAGTAATAAGAAGTTTGCAGCAGTCTAAAACCAACCTCCTCTGCAACAGGATGCTCTTTTGTGACATGATCATCATCTTCATATCCTCTTTTTCGTTTCCTATAGAAAAAAACAGTTAATCTAAAATGATTGCACTTTATACTTAAATACACTATCATATAGACCTAGAATGTAATTCACCTATACTGAATTGGGTTTTGGGCTGGATATACTAATTGATTTGACTGATACTCAAAATGACTTATGTTTCAAGTAATACATTCAACCTCGGTGTTACTACCATGTTGCCCTGTTAATTTGGCAGATTTTAATACATAAGTATTATATTAATAAGTATATGTAATAAGTATTTCACGATAGGTCTGTTAAACTTAAAAGAGATTTTAGCTGTGATCGAATAGTATGTCCTTTGTGTTTTCCTTAACCATGACAGAAAACATGAGGTGAATGAGAAGTTAAAAGGACCTGGGAAAAGAAACGCGTTACAGTGTTACAAAAATGTGCTACAAAAAGCAGGTCTTTGTCCCATGCTCTCTTACCATGTTGTTTCATGCAGGCTATAAAATCATGGACAACACGGTGAAAAATCAGTCACAAGACAAACAAAATGTCACATTGAGAATGGTTGCTCTTGTTCACCTTCTAGTCCACACACATTTATCAGCATGCATCTCAATTATTGTATGAATGACATTAAATTATGCAAGATAGGCCTATAAATCCACGACACATCATTCTTCAGTTTCTAACGTTGAATTAAAAACATCTGACTAAAAATGTGTCATATCCCTTTTTCATAAAAGACAGACCTGTTTTATGGTTAATATTATTATTATGATCTGCAATGATGGTGCATTGCTTTAAATGTTTCTGCTGCAAGGGATTGTGGGGACGGCATTATCTCCATAAAGGATGGTCCAGTGTTCCCTGTGCTAAAGGAGATAAGACAGGAAGCAATGAAGCAGCTTTCCTTTGCATTTTAGAGAACTGGAACAGTTATGCACTTCTGGGTAATTTCACTCAGGAGCCTTTTTAAGCAAAACAGATTACTCAACCACAGTCTTTGACTTTTCAAAAATAACCTTGGAATGAAACTAATACTTACGGAATTGTGTTGACGAATTCAGCGTGTATTCTTTCAAGCTTCTGTTTGTACATATTGACCTCGTCTGAGTTGGGAAGCTCATACTTCTTTAAGAGATTTTTTATTCCTATGAAGAAAAGGGGTTAAAAAATTGCAGGATTTCAATTAAATGTAAGCAAGCTTAGCTTTATAAAGCATGACAATCATGAGAATGCTAATCTAATAATAATAATTTTAAAAGTTATTTATTTATTGGACAGCATATTCGAAAGGTTGAATACATACGTCTCATTAAGTCAATCATCTTGCACAGGGTTTCCTTGTCGTCTTTCAAACCCAAGCATTCTGCCAGGTAACTAGAATATTATGTAAAGTGCAGGGTGCATATAAAGGTTCTTTAATCAATGCTACAGCAATTTGTATTAAAACTGGAAACACATGCTTACATGCCATTAAGTATTAAATAACACTGTACATAAAAATACTGTATATCAAAAGTATGCAATTGTGTGACAACAGTGCATAAAACCCACCTCTCCATGGTAATGCCAGCCCGAGAAGCACTATTCAGCACAGCGGTCAAAGCAATCTGTGACGGAGAGCAGAGAAGACCTGCATCTGTCATAGTAGCACGGTTAAGAAAATCATCAGCAGTTTTCCTTAGCATCTCTGGGTTCTCCAGTGTCGTATATCTCGTCTGAAGGGGGGGGGACGACACAAGACAAATTAAGAGAGAATTTGAATATGTTTTCCTGAATATGCAGATGTTTGACTACTTTTTTGCAATGGTTGCAATACCATCAAATCCACGTAGAAGTTACCTTGAGATCAATGAGGAAACCCTCTAGAGGTCGGTAGGGGTTGTGTACCACCAGGTGGAAATTTAGCTGCTGGATGAGCAGTAGTTCATACTCAAGGATCTGTTCCAGAGCCTTTTCCTGTCCTGCAGCTGTCTCCGGCAGATTTCCAACGAACTGGCTGCTTGACACATTAAACTCATCTACTTTGCAGGCCAGGTATGCACAGGTAAGCCTGCAGAACAGAGAGCATATTTAAGAACTACCACACTGAGGCATAATACTGTTTACGTCATACCTTGAAAATCTACTAATACCATAGTTCTGCTTATATTTTATGTGTTTGTATAGCAGCTTTACTAGTATGCTATTACATTTACTATTAAAAAGGAAAGTTTTAACACTCACATAATAATCCTGGGATGGTATTCCATTACGGAGTTATGCAAGTAAAATCTTCTAAAATACATAGCTGCTGTACCCTAGGAAGATAAAGATGGGATATGGCATCAATTTGTTTTTACAAAAGTTACCTAATAAGCATTTAAAACTGTTGAAATGTGCTTTATTTATATTGAAAAATGTATTTAACAAATACCACAACAGATTTTGGCATCACAGGCTTGAAATTAGCACAGAATTCGAGAAGTCTCCTTTCATAGTGTCTGAAAAGCACATCTTCCTCGAAAGGATTCAAAAATGAGGATTCATCCAATCCTTTCAATTCCTTGAAGAAGAAAAAATAGCAATGATGAGAAAAGTCTCAGTACTCAGCAGGAAAGAGAAAAGATGAGGTCATAAATTTGAAGCAAATCATTTACAGCAAAACTATTATATGACACGTTGTCAAATCTTAAAATACTGACGGTGGATGGACGGATACCGGCAGTGTGTCCAAAACTATTATTGAAAAAAGCAGAGTGCTAAATGTGTACAATACATTTTTCTTACCTTTCCACTACCACGAACTTTAGCACGAAACTTCTGATTGGATTGAAACCTAAGTTTCTCTAAACATTCTTCATTTTCAAATGTCCAAAATTTTTTCTGTGAGCTATTGTGATACATTGTACCCTGCAAAACACACAGAATTACACCCTATAGGTGTATCATATTTCAAAGGAACAGCAATAACCAATAATACTAATACTTATTAAAAAAAAATTCTCGAACATTTTTCATGCACGTAAAAATAAATACGAAATAAAAACATAATAAAAGGAAACAATATGAATTTAAAAATGCAATCATACATATGAAGTTGCAAGGGAATCTCTACAAGGTATTATAGTTATCTGAAAGGAATCGTGAAGTACTGCGCCCCACTTGTTCAATAGCGTTTTTGCATGACACAAAATAAAAGCATGCACGTCAACATTTCACTTTGCTTTTTCACTTGCTTCAAAGACTCAATCATCTACAAATGGCTGGAACTCCTCAGCAGTTACGTTACATAAATCCTGAGTAACACACAGAAAGCAACTGTAGTGGACTAAGTAATGTTAAATGGGTGCGCACATCTCAAATGATTCCGTCTTTTCTTCGGGGGAAACTGATGTATTAACCCTCCTCTTTGCGACTGTATAAATAATGAAAGTTCTCCAGTATGTGGGTGCTGTACCTCACTATTCTACTAATATAAACAAAACGGTTGTTTGCATTCTTTATATAATTATGTTAGTGAACCAGCTAGCAAAAGATTTATTTATATTAGTTAGTAGCTGAGGTCCTTGGCTATGCTTTTCTTTAAATAAAATAAATCACTTACCTTTGGCTAAAGTCAAGAATTATACGAAACGCCAGATAATATTTAATAATACATGGCCACTCTAAACACAAGAACCAAATAATACTGTCGTATATTACTCAGGCACTTTTTGGACAGCAGGGGTCTTTCGAGTCATGATGACGAAATTATTACCGTATTGACCAGTAAAAAGGAGGCTCAAGATTACCGGTTGCACACGTTTCGTTATTGTCTTTAACAATTAAATATAATTCGTGAATGATTGAATAGCAATACAAACTTGCACACGTTACAAAATTTAAGACCATAGCAAATTAACTCGTGCAATGTTTACAAACTGGTATTAGTGGTACTACTTTAGTACTTTGCGTACTGCATATTTTATATTTTTAGACTTCTTAAATTTGTATTTTTTAATTATTCATCGATGTATTTCTATGTTTAATTCATCAACACAATTCCGTAAGCATTAGTTTCGTTCCAAGGTTATTTTTGAAAAGTGACCCGCTAATCTCATATGTATAATAATTAAGTTAATAACAGCATCTGGTTTAACTGTAAAACACGGAGAAACTGTAAGTGCAACCCTTATTGCTGCAAGAATCAGTATAGGGTTTATGTGATTTAGGTCCTCAATCTGTGCGACAAATACAAGTTAAACTGAGTGTTCCAACAACACAAGGAATGATACACCACCCAAATGTTAGTTCTAGTGCCTTGATTATTTTACTGATACTCAAAATTTGATCCTTAATTAATAATATTTCATGAGAAGCTCCATGGTCCAATTAGTGCATCCACCTTGTCATTTTGCATGCATACGTTACTATATGATAGACACATTGAGTGACTGCACACTTCCACTTAATTATAGGTACCCCTGCATGGTACCAGGTAGGAACCACTTCAAAGGCTGATGAGTTGAGTAGATTTGGCTTTACAAATGCTGTACTATGCACAATAATTGTACTGAGCTGTAATGTTTTTACACTTCTGGCCTTCCTGTTAGCTTTTACAAGTATGGCTATTCTCCTCTGACCGTTATCATTAACGAAGTGTTTTGCGCAACAGAACTGCTGCTGACTGGATTTCCATCAGCATCATTTTTATTATTTTTTTTCTTGTCATTCTCTATAAGTGCTAGAAAGTATACATGGAAATCCCAGAAGAGTGGCTGATTTTGAGATGCTGAACCCACCACCTCTAGCACCAACAATTATACCACATTCAAAATCACTTTGGATCATGTGTCTTAGCTGCAGAGTGGAACAGTAACCAAACCTACTGACCCTGTCCAAGTGCTCTGTATATTTAGTTGTAGCCACATGATTCGCTCTTTTGAAGAGCAGGCAGTCTGTGTCAGCAAGCCAGTGTACCTAATTAATTGGTACACTGAATGAAAATGCACATGATGGATGGGTAGTTGAGTATTACTAAAGCAGCTAAGATTTATTTTAGAAAAAAGTAAATGTTTACAATAACAAAGAAAACAAACCCCTACCCATAATCCCAATTGCTCCCACCATATATCAGTTGTTCTGTATATCCTAATTTGCATAAACATGAGTAATTTATGAATAATAAATGGTCCTTGCATTTTGGTGGGAGTCATTAATTTGCATATCACCATGGTACTGCGGGTTTATTTTCTGTGCTCTGTATTATGATGTTCTTAAAACCTGCATAAACCTCTATCAAAGAAAACATTAAAACAGGTATGTGTGTGTTTATATTCTGTTGCTTTTCCTACACTCTTCTTTCTGTCAGGCTGTGTTTGAGTATCACAGCTCAGACTGAGATTCAGCGATGTGTTTTGAAAGCTAGCGCATTGCCTTTTTGAAACTGGTGTAATGCATAGACATGTCAATGTATGCATGGGGTCCTTTATGCTATGATTTTAGAAAATCTATGAAGTGATTTATGGTTAAATACTGAAATGGTGTGTTGCTTTGACATCTGCTAGTAAGTTCATGAGTATTTTTTCAATTTAAATATTTAAACTAACAACAAATTTTACAAAATCATTGTGAAAGAGTTACTGATTCAGATAACGGAGATGATAAAAACAAAGACTTGTTTGGAAACAGTCTTTGATGCCTTATGATGATGTGGAACTATCAGTATTATTCATTTGCCTGGAGTTTGTATTGGTCTTACCAAACCAAACTAATGCTTCTAAGGAACATTAAAATTCTTCATCTACTGAAGCATTTTCCATCAGTGTTTACATAATACTGCCCTACAACTTGCACATACATAATCATGTCTATTTTTTGTGGCATTCTTTTGAATAGTGTAATATATTATTTGCTCATTTACTTTTTTTCTCTCTGTTAGTTAATATTGTAGGATAGTAAGGAGCTGTAGTGGTCAGGCTATTTATACCTGATGTTTTTCTGTGGTACCATTCAATACCTTGTTTCATTTTAATTATTTGCTTTTATTGCGAAGATAAATTATTGCTGACTGTGTAATATGATTTTTAAAAAATAGAATTTGTATTATGCTATGGACTACAAATGCTCCAAATCATTTCAGGAAGGTTGTAAAATTAAGAATTAATGTGCATTATGGGAAAATATAAACTTTTGTAGGCAGAGAAAATCAACAAGATTTTAATAATTGTTCACCAAAGCATTACACTCATATGCTGACAAAGATGTTGTCTCCATTTCCAGGTATCCATTGTTAATTTTTATGTTAGCTATTACAGTTGCGGTTGTTATGGAAACCAATATAGTTTTTGAAGGTTTAAAGACATCTCCAAGGACAAAGAAGGCTTCTCATTATGAAAATAGGCTACAATGATATCAGATGGCTTTCTTTATTTCATCAAATAACATTACACAATAAATCCAGCACAGCATCTCATTCTTTGTCAAAATTTTGATTAATTTAAATATAGACAATTGAAGAAAGCAGATCCAGTATACACCAACCCAAATGACAGGTTTGTAAATAAAATTATACTAACTCTCTAGATTTTAATAAATTATTGACAGCATTACATGGCTGAAAATAAATCAATCTATTTAATAATACTATACCAAAATTATGCATATTTTAGAACAAAAGTGAAAAATCAATGCAAGAAGAAACCTATAGAGGCATGTCATTCTAAAGTATAAACAATAGTAGTGAATATATAGACTACTCTGAAAGCCAGGAAAAACACATGGAGAAAAATGTATTAATATTTCAATATCTCGCGAAGTGCTGCTTTGTGGTTAATTGTGTTATGAGGAAAGCTTGTGTCCTCTTCACAGGGATATACACAAGTGATTAACGTAAAGCCTGACATAATCAGTCCGTATCCTGTACAAAATCCACGGGATATAAAGAGTACATGAATGCTAATGAAATTTAGATCTAAAAGGATAGAATTTCAAAAAATACCAATAGAAATTGACAAAATAAAAAAAAAATGGACAAAACTATTCAAAAATAATAACACACAGTGCTGCTGCTGCTTTATTTTGGGGGCAGTTTGAAAATGAAAATAGATGTAGATCACTATCTATATAATGTTTTTGTGAAGGAATAATAAGATTCATCAAAAAATTTTTGACGTGTAATATTCACAGGGTCAAATATCTGCTTTCACCCTTCCCTTTGCTGCCACTAAGCTGCATTTTGTGGTGATCTGTTTGCTTCCAGTTCAACACCCACACAATACTTCTGCAAAGTTTGAAAGACATCCATCAAAAACATTTTGAGTTATCATCTTATAAGTATCGGTCAACGCTACCCTTTTTGCTATCACCATATGGAGCTGCTTCAATTTTGGGGTGATCTGTCTTAGAATTTAATTAAATTCCAAATGCCAAATGAATTGCTTGCGCATGACTATAAACACAAATGAACAGTGGCTGGTACAATTCCAAGTCTAAAAATCTTGTGAAATCACCAAAAAAGGAATTCCTGTAATGAGCATTCTTATTCAACAGCTATTATGCTGGTTCATTACAAGTAGTTTTTCAATAAATAAATGTAACAAGAAAACATAGGCTTTTTGTTGTGTTCTGCCATAAGCATTAGTTCTCGAAATTCTTTTGCAGACTTTGATCTGTTGTTGTAATAATCAAAAAGAAAAAACAGTCAGTAAATGTCAATCTCGGTAAATTTTGTTTTGTTGTTTTATGTTACTTGTGCCAAAATAATTTCATTTATCTTTTGTGCATGGATCTATTTGAAGACTTTGAAGGTTTCATAGACCCACTGACATATATGTGGTATAAAATTTGAAGTATTTAGAGGAAAAAATAAACAGCAATTTAAAATATCTATCAAGTACTGTGGAATTGAGTGCAGCATTCTATGTCATTTATATACATGGAGGATATGAAGCAAATCTTGAAAAAAAAGAAGGAACAGTTCGGGGCAATATATTCCCCAGTGATGGACACAAGCAGGCTGGATTGTGATGGGGAAGCCATGATAACTGCCATGGCAACCAGGGGCCTGTATCATAAAGCTGGATTTTTGGGCTGGCAAGATAACTTGTCACATTTAAGGTAGTGTGGCCTCAATGTAACTGAACAAAAATGGAGTCCAGTTAAACTGGGGTATCTTAAATCCGACAAGTTATTTAACTAACTAACAAATCTTGCTTCATGATACCAGCCCCTGGTAAACCAGGCATGAAGCAATTTAGTCTTGCTGTTGGTACTTCCTTACTTCTTTCCTTAAGAGGAAAAAAAAAAATTAAAATAGAATTTAAAAAAAATAATCATTTCAGAGTATGGTTCATACATCCAAGCTAATGTTCTTGCCGTATCTGCAATACAGGATAGCATAGTTTAGGTTGTGCTAACTGTAATTCAACAGTAGTGTTGACTCCATAATCCATATTTAAGTTTGCTGATTGAGAAATAGCACAACTTCTCCTGGGCAGGCCAGGCATACATAATGGCTCTTACTGAAGCATGGATGAAAGTTGTGGCTCTGTGTAACATTTGTATGTTAGTCTTAGTATTTGTCTTAGTTTTTTCCACTTTTCTTTTTCTTCAATATGTCATGAAAAGAAAAGTCAGGGCAATTTATTTTATATTCAAATTAGTAAATGGTCATAGCAGACAATATTATGTTAGAATTTCTGTGAGAATTCTATAAACACGACATTAACATTTTCATATGCTGCCTCTTTTTTATGCCTTGC